TCGTCCTCCATAATACCTAGGAGTCTTACACATAGATGCCCAAAATTAATTCACTCAGCAAATATTTATTAGGTACATAGTATGTGCTAATACTGGTTGACAGATAATGTCATACCACCAGCTAGTTAATGGGTGCTTCTTGGGAAATGCATGCTTTTTTTGCTGGTTACTGGTATCCTGGTTGTTAGCTTTCCTAATTAGAGAGAAAGGGGTTAAATTCATTGGATCTCACAGAGCAATGTAATTTGTTTTTCATAATGAACACTGTTCTGCATTGGGAGATTTTCTTTTTTTATTAACTACAATGTTCTAAAGTATGTTTTTAAAGGAATCTTTGCTCTTAATTTAGTGTGTCCTACTAATATCATGAATAGCAAATCAAGCAAAATTTTAAAGCAAGAAGAATTAGCCTCCAACTTACCAACCCCATTTTGTATTTTTGTTTCAAATAATTTGGTGTTTTAGACCAGTAGTTCTCAACTAAGGGTAATTTTGCCACTGTATGCCTCCCCCCTACACCCCTCACTCCATACACATACATAGCAGTGTTAGGAGACATTTTTGGTTGTCAAAACTGAGTGAAGGGTTAAGGAGAGGGCACTGTAATCTAGTGGATAGAAACCAAGGAGACTGGTAAACATCCTGCAATGCACGGGACAGCTCCCTGCAAGCAAGAATTGCCCAGCTCAAATTGTCATAATACCAAGGTTGAGAGATTTTGTTTTACATAGTATAATTTGTAGTGAATAGTGAAAAGCATATAAACATTTTATATAACATGTAACACCCAAATAAGAGATTAAAAATAGGTTATTTCATTTTTTTCAATCAAGATGTCTGTTGTATTCAACAGATGGCTTTTGACTACTGTCTATGTGCCAGAAGAGAGGAGTCCCACATATTTTGAAGGCATAAGATCCCAGTTCTCAAAGAGCTTGCTTTCTACAAATAGTGATGATATGTAAGCTTAAAAAAAAAAAAACCCACAAAATAATAGACTAAGTTGTATAATAGAATTAAACAGTAAAGAGCTTTGGGTGCATCAGAGAAAGCTTGATGAAGATGGTGAGGCTTGGTAGTTTGTAGAAATTCTGCTCAAACTTGAATACTCACTCAAATGGTAGTTAGGAATGGATAATCCAAGCTGAGGGAACAGCATGTGAAAAGCACGGAAGTTTGTCAAACAGCAGGAATTGTAAGTAGTATATTATGTTAAAATGAGGCTGGAGTTTTTGGTGGAGGCCTACCTTAGGAGAGCTTTGAAGCCAAGGAGTTTGGAAATTATTCTGAGGGCCAGAGTATAATACAAGTAAGGACCATTTTACAAAGACCATTCTCAAGGCTGTGTGCAGCATGCAGAGAAGAAACCCTTTGGGAGAATAGTTTGTACCAATAGGAGATCTTGAAGGTCTGATATAACATAGAAAGATCTGATTGTCAGAACTTGGTAATTTGAAGTCTTGAATACTATATGGAGACGGTGGCTAAAGAAGACAATAGAAGATGACCTCCCATTTCATCTTGGGGATTTTGTGGATGGTGGAGCCATTACCAACCATAGATGATGTATGAGAGAGGCAGAGCAGATTTGAAGAGTAGGTGACGGAAATGTCTTTTTTTTCAAACGTTGTTTTTGAGGTATCTGTGGAATGGATGTTTTGTGCCCAGAAGCTTATTGAATATTTGTCTGATTATGATTATTAAGAATGGCACAGAAGAAGCATTGTGGCCTAGGATGAAAGAATTTTATTTCTAAATTTGTCAGTGATTGCTTATAAAGCCTTAGAAATATTACTTATTTTTTTTCATCTGTAGTGTTTGGAGCATGGTGATGGAAACATACCTCTTAGAGGAATTCTTATAAGTGATATTGAGCTAAAGAATAAATAATTGAATATTATAAGGCATTTGAAAAATTATAGTAGTTAAACATTCTGGGGACTATAGCAACTGTTTACCAAGATAAATGTTTATATACCCAAGTTGGCTTCCTAAGATCACTCATTTTGAGTAACATTGGCTGAGATGCATGAATTGCCTCTGGTGTGGTTTAGATAAGCTTTTGTTTTTGGTTTTAGACTCCATTATTCAAGTACGGTTTTCCCTGCCTTTTACATTAGAAGAAAAACTTTGTCTTACTCTTTATGACCAAACCTCTTGTGCTAAGTATTGTTTATACTATCACTATAAAAAAAAATAAGATGGATACCACCTTAAAAGTGTTTGTTGAAAATGCATTAGCTAATAAACATGAAAAGAAAAACAATTGTAAAATGTTTGCCATTACTGGGTTGTTTTAATGTTTTGCATTGAGACTTCTGTGTCCATCAGCCCTTTGAACAGGAAGCATTATAAGGTTTCTTCTGATTGTTACTACTCACACATTGTAAAGATCTTTTTCCTTTAATCTATTTAGTACAGGATCTATTTAGTACTGGCCTATGTCCCAGAATACCATCAGAGATAAGGCTATTATCCTTTCATTGAGCATTATCCTGGGAAAGTATTTATAAAATTGAACTCTGTTGCACCTGCTGACCTCCTTTTTTAAATGAAGAAAGGGTGGGGATGGAGATTATGTTCACTGAATTCAGACGGAGCAGCGTGTTTGACAGCCCTGACACAGAGTGCTTTGGTTCGGCCCTTTCATATTGTGCAAATCGATTCCATCTTGGACTCTGAAAGAAATAAGTTGACAATTCAGATCAGGAAGTTGATGAGCACGTTGGGTGCTCTGCAGTTATTGGCACAGTTGCTGTTTTTTTCATGAGCAATTCTGTAGTAAGACTCCCAGATATTTCAGGATTAATCTAAAATGTTTGCTTGCCACTGCTGTCATGTTTTCTCTAAAATTGCTGTAAATAGAATCTAGTGGCATTATCTTCAAATGTGAAAGGCTAATTTTAGAAGTTAGCTATTTAATATTCATGCTTAACTTAAAATAATAAGTCATTAAAATGGAAAAGAATGTTCAAAAACAATTTCAGAAACTTAGTTTCCTACAGAATCTATCTTAAGAAGCTGAAGAAACTTGAACAGTGCCATGTAACTTTCAAGTATCTCTCTTAAAATATTTTATGTTGTCAAGGGACACCTGGATGCCTCAGTCGGCTAAGCATCTGACTCTTGATTTCCACTTGGGTCATGATCTCAGAGTCCTGGGATAGAGCCCCACATTGGGTTTCTCTGCTCTGCAGAGAGCCTGCTTGTCTCCCTCTCTCTTTGCCCTTCTTGTTCTCTATCTCTCAAATAAATAAATTAATTAATCTTTTTTAAAAAAGTATCTTACGTTGTCAAATTACGTGAAATATCTTTATATAAAATAGATGCTGTATGTATTTTTGTAATGATATTTATAGCCCACGTACTTAAATACCTAGCAAGTTGGTTGCTGGTTTTGGAGCAGCATTACTGAATAAAATGCAGGTTTGTGGCTTTTTAAAAATTCTTTGGTTGGTAGGACAAGATATAAATGAAATAAAACCACTCTCAAGGTTGTTTGTTATCCTAGCAAATCTTTTTTCTGTATTCCCTTCTAGTTCTTTCTTACATCTTCACGTGACATTTCTATAATTAGCTCAATGTTAAAACCTGCTGTTTTCACTTCACCTTTTTTCTTCAACTTTTTCCGTGGTCATACAGTGTGCAAGTCCATTGTTACTGTAATATAAACACAAAGCTATTCCATTTATATTTAATAATAAGTATTTGACCAAATTTGTAATCTGGTAGGAACTATAATTAATAAAATATAAACAGGTTACCTGATAGAGTACAGTAGGTCCTCAGCAAAATTAGAACTAGAACCTGGGTCTTTCAGTTAGCGATATCTATTGTATGACAAACCTGACAACATTCTAGTTGCCATATGACAGAATTAGCAGGTCAATAAAATAAGACTTATCAAGGATTTGGTGGACTGCATCCATCTGAATTTTATATATTATTGCGACACCTATTAGCCACAGAGACCAAGAAATAGATGGGTGTTTGCATCACCCAGTTTATGATGGAATATGAGCTATCTTAAACTATCTGAAAACTGAGAGTCCTTTAATCAACCTGTTAAGTTTATTTGCAGCTAGTATTTCTTGCCTTTTAGATAAGGAAAAAGTGATATATTGTCTGAAAGGATATATGCTATGTGCAGTCACTTAAAATGTTTAGTGGAAAGCATAGGGAAGAGGGACAGCAAATATAGTTGAGGGTAGATTTGTAGTCAAAGAGATCTAGGGGTTCAACCCAGCTCTGCTGCATAGCAGCTGTGTCATGTTGGGCAAGTTATGTACCTTATCTCCTAGCCTCTATTTTGTCCTCTCTAAAATAGGCTTAATAACACTTGCATGATAGAGTTATAGTCAATACATAGTTAATAATATGTATGAGGTGAGAAGAGGGCCCTCCCCCCAACCACTCCACCAGTGACTTTCTAAGAGTTACCAGTATGATGAAAGGAGAGGGCAGGCCCCTTGTCCTTCCCCAACCTTCCTGCTGGGATGAGAAACTTGCATGGGGAATAGAATCAGCCTTGGGAATGGGCTGTTCTTGGCCTGATCCTCAGAAGTGCTGAGGCTGGCCAAGATGATTGGCTTCTTCAGTAGGAGGATTTTGTCATGTTTCTATTGTTGTGTTGTTTGGAGACATTCTTGGACAGTTTGGTCAGTTATAATTAAAAGTTGACTCTAAAAAAAAAAAAAATATATATATATATATATATATGTATAGCACCTGATATGTGGCAGACACTCAATAAAGTTAGTTCTTGTTGTTTTTACCTTAATTTATTAATTAAAATTTGCGTGTTAATTACCTGAGAGGAATCCATTTTAAATGATTGAGGATTGATATTAAAGACCAAATCAAATTCTTATTAATTCTATAGTATTTGAAAGTTCGATATGTTGAATTAATATTAACATATAAAATAAATACAGTGGATCAATGAGAGAATTTATTTAGGCTCTGTTCTCCTAGCTAACATACAGCTTTTCTTTCAACAGGCTCAGCACTATGTAGCTACAACCTAAAGCCTTCAGAATATACTACATCTTCAAAAGCTTCTGTTCTGTGCCCCAAACTACCAGTTCCAGCGAGGTAAATTTTATTGTATTTTGTTCACTTGTGACTTTTGTTTTTGTAGGTAGATTTTAAACCGGGGAAAGAGTAACCTGATACCTGTTGCTCAGGACCGATACTTTTACAACAAAATTTAAAAAGTAGTACTAGAAATGACAACATGTATTTCATCTTAAAATACACACACACAGAGGAAACAACCTTTTCTCATTCTCAGATTTTAAATTGCTTTTGGGGGCTTACTTTTTTTTTAATGCCATAATTTTTAAGTATGTAGAACTACTGAGTCATTGCAAAATCTACAGCAAAATTAGAAGCCAAGTCTCACAGTCTCCAAAGATGCCTTGAAGTTGATCCTTATAATACTTCCTAGGATTATTTTTAATTTACTTTGTAAATTTAGAAAATATGCCAGTGACTGTTCTCTATACCTTATTTCAGGCTGTATCTTAAGGTACATTCTCTATAATAATACACTGTTTGCCATATCTTATCCAGGGTCTTACTCAACAAACATTTATTATTTCAGTACTTACTGCATGAAATGGATACAAAAAAGAGACAAGAAATATTCTTTGTATTGAAGGATCTCAGAGTAGTTATGAGTAAAGCCAACTTTAAAATTATAAATAGGTTTTTTGACAAGGAAATAAATTTGCAGGTATTACAGAATATATCCTCAGAATTAGATGCATAGGATTTGGAGCATGTCTGATCTTGAGAACCTTAAGTGTGTATCACTAAGCATGTATGACACCAGTCAACTTCGCCAGGAATGCAAGTTGAAACCACTTTTATTATATCTTGGTATATTACAGCAAGCTACTGATTAAAATTTTGAGACTGATTTTATGTGTGCATTCCTTTGGCTTGCTTATGGCTGTAACTTGTGCTGCTTTATTAACTTGAATGAAATTTTCTGTTGGAAAGTAGACAAAGGCTATATCCATTTAATGTCCAGCTCTTTTAGTCTTGTCAAGTCACCATTGAAATTAAAATGTAAAGCCTATGAAAATGAAAATTAAGGGACTGTTTTAAAAGATACTAAGTAGGACCTATAAATTATGGGCTTAGACCAATAGGTAAAGAGACTCCATTCATGACCACTGAGAATAGAATAGAGTCATTGGAGAAAATTTATCAATGTAAAAACAGGAAAGGCTCTGTCCTCTTATCAACTCAACTGCTAAAAAGTCTGTTTTAAATGCATACTATGAGTATAGAGTCATATTTTAAGGCATAAGCATATTATAAAAGGATAACCAAAAGCCTAGATGTGAGGATGAGGTTGCTCTGCTCCTGTGTAATATGGGTGGGACAGGGGGTCAGGTAAATCCTCATTTACCTCTGACCTCTGGCTCTACCATGTTGAAAACTGCCTGTTCCTGATTATCTATCTTAGGTGTTCCATTCTTGGGTGTACAGAACTCACACATCTCAAATACAGTGTCCTAAGGGGCATTCACTGAAAGATGAAACATAGTATTAGGGCTTGAGTTTTAAACATGGACAAAAAAAAAAAAAAAACAACCAAACATGGACGGATTTGGCTTCTAGCAAGATCATCCACTAATGTCTCAGTAATCTAAGAAGCAGTGATGACTCTATGCCATCTGAAAATTGACTATACCCAATGTTTATGCTGTATTTAAAGATCCTCATGCTTAACTTATTTTAGCATACCTCATAGTCTAAGTATCTTAGCACTTTTATCTGAATTCAACCTGTTGCAAAGTAAAAAAGAAGTGATAGTTGATACAAGAAAAATCAAGTTCGGACCTTATAAATACCATTTAGCATTTGGCAAGCAAAGAGCAAAGATCAGAAAACAGTGAATGTGTTTTAATAAAAAACTTGGGGCAATCCCACATTCTACACCCATATTAGATATCAGATCTTCAAAGATGAGTAAGATCTAGTTTCTGTCCTTAAGAAACTCTGTCAATTAAAAAAAAAAAAAAGGAACTGGTTTTGGTGACTTTTTTAATATACACTAGAAGACTGGCACCAGGCAAACCTATGATGCAGGCAAATGGCCCTGAGCATTGTTCATATCTCTGTTGCTCTCCTTCTAGGAGCACTCTAGCGGGACAGAAAGAGCTGAACTTTGAGTCCAGATAGGCCTGGGGGTGAATTCTGTGTCACCACTTGTTCTTTGTCACCTTGGGCAAGTCTCTTCACCTCTCTGAACCAAGCATCCTCACATGTCAAATGAGAATATTAATACCTCTCTCATGGAATTGTTGTAAGAATTAAATAAAGTAATATGTTTTAAGCATCCATTATTGTGCTTGGCATCCGGCATAGGGAAAAGTATTTCTCTCAACCTCTAGAGCCTCCCCTTTTGCCCCTCACCTTCCTGGGTACGTGGGCACCTTCTGCTATTGAAAGCAATGCCTTGTCTTAGAGAAAAGCAATTGTAAACTAATTTACAATAAAACACTAACACTACACAATTGCCAAATGATTACTATTTCTAAGAGCTTTTGAATTTTAAAAGCAAATGCCTGGAAAGGGCAATGTTTTATCCAAATTTCTAACTGTTGGTGGTGTGCTGAGTGTGGTAGTGATAAGGAGACTAGCCCTTACACTTAATACACTTAAAAGGTTTAGGTATAGCTAAAGAAAACTGCAGTAGTAGAAACAGATTACATAAATTCAGTTTGTTCACCAGATGTTTATTTTGATACTTCTGGATGCCAGAAAGGATATTAGGTGTTGGGAAATTAATAGTATGATATGGAAATGAGAAACTAATAGCCAAGGAAAAAAAGTGTTATATATTCATATTTTTAAATGAAGGATTCAATGTAAATTAACATTTATAAATCATCTACTGTGTGCCAGCCACCATATGAAGCTTCTCATGTGTATTGTCTTATTTAATCTTCACAAAAGCCTATGAGGATATTGTTCCTGATTTATAGATGAGGAAATAAAAGATGAGAGAAGTTAAATGTTGTGCAAAGTCACACAATTAATTGTTGAGAATCAGAGTTTTAATCTAAGATCTTGTAAAATCTATACCATAGTTTTACACTATATGAATGTTAATCTACTTATAGCCATGGGATGAGGTGACCTTAGGGTCCTCCTACTCTGCCCTCTTCCCCACGACATAGTCCTATACCACAGTTAGTTAAAAAAAAAAAAAAAGGTGGAGTAGACCGACAGGCTTAGTTGGTAGAGCATGTGACTCCTGATCTCAGGGTCATTAGTTCTAGCCCCACATTGGGCATGGAACCTACTTAATAAAAAAGTAAAAAGTAAAAGTAAAAAGAAAGGAGTATAGAAAGGAAAGAAGAGAGAAAATAAATGAAATGTATGAAAACCACTGAGTATTGCAATTAGACTCTTGATTAGACTCTTGATTTATTTCCTTCATTTTCTGTGTTATAGAGATACTGCTAGAACTCTTTATTGTTATTCTTCATTAAATAAAGCTTTTCTTTAGAAATCATGTGTAACTGCTTATTTACACATGCTTATTAACCTGAAGTTTTAAGATAATCGTGTGAGATACAAACCCCTGTCTTCTCTTATGACGGCATATGGATAAGAGATATTAGGCATCATGTGTCGTCAGGCTTTGAGGGAGGAGAGCTCATTAACTGCGATAGCCTGGACTTAAGGGCAATGGGCAGTGTGTTTGCCAAGGTAAGATACAATTTCCGAGTGGCTAATTTTTAAAAATCTTTAGAAGACTTATTATAAATTCATTTTGTTCTTGTTGACTTATGTTTCAATAATGTGAAACAGCATCAGTTCCTAATGGGACTACATTGACTTCTTAAAGATTCAATATTTTGTGGGCTTCAAAAGGTAGAAAAAGTTGCTATAAATAGAATTCTTTATGCTTGTCCTCCTAATTAAGAAGCACAGAGTGTGTCATTTAGGTTAGACATTAAAGTAGAAAAGATTTCACATACCAGGTTCTCAGAAGTATTCTTTTCTGAGAGGTATATGAAGTCAGCAAACATTCACTATATCATGTAGGTCTTAAATGGTAAAATACAAGACAAACCATTTCAATGCCATGATTACTTAGATATTTTTTTTTTAACAAGAATGTCATTTGAGTATTAAAAATTCATGGCTGGTTAAGTTGTTTTTGTTGGGGGAATAGTAGAGGAAAAGAATGACCAGGGAGTGTAGTGTTTTTTACTTTAAAACTAACTATTTAACTTTGTTTTTGACTACTGTGTCCAACCAAATACCATCTTCTCTTTTATTTGCCTCCTATTTTTGATATGCCTTACCACTAAGAGCAGATTTTGACCATCAGCTAGACAATGTAATCAGTTTATGCTAATTTTATGCCTTCAAATTTAGAGCTGTCAGATTTTGTGGTTTGTTTTTTTTTTTTAATTGACATAGGTTAAATTATAAGGTAAGGGACTGTTACTTTGCTTCAGTTCTTTGAAGGAGACTTGTAAAAGTACTCTTTCCAATTAGCCAAGTGTTTAGGTATAGTTTAAAATTGACTTCAAAGGGTAAAAGAGCAGATATTACTCAGCATTAACTCTTAAATAGAAATGAAAGATTAGAATTTTAAGAATATAATCTTTCCCTTTCAAGCCATTTATCCTCATTATAAGTCTGAAAAGCAGAAAAACACCAACATTACTGAGCATGTTGCTCCTGTTAATTTAGAATCACTGACTTATGGCTGGGCTCTATTACTATTTATTATATTATTACTACTCCCACTCTTTCAGCTAACAGGAGGAGAAACAGGTGGCTATGTAGTGGTAGGAGGATCACCGCAGGCTTTTGAACTCATCCAGGTTTGTTTCCATTATAACAGGCCCCACTATCTTTTGAAAGTGATGTGTATTTCTCTTTGAGTCTAAAACTATGGCAGCATCCTGGTAGGATTTGGGAGATAGAGGCAGAGCTGCCTCTGGACAGAGGATAAGTTTCACTTATGGTTATATGACAGGAAAAAGGGCCAACAAAATTGGTAGATATTGAAAATGAGAAAATGGCATCTGTATCCTCAAGGTAGATATATTTTATGTTCCAGGGTGAAGGCAAGCGAGTTAAGCAGAGGCTACACCCGAAATGATAGGGTAATAAGTAAAGCAGATGAAGATGTAGATAATCGTGGAGCAGAGAAGACTTAAGTTTTGAAGGATAGAGAACAACGCTTTAGTTAAAATATGGTTAGAACTCCTTACATAGGGACATTAACCTGGCAGAGACATCATCTAGTTAGATAATATCAGGAAGAAAAACAGGTGTAGGTCACAAAAGATTGTCAGTTTAAAGGTTTCTGTCCCAAGTCAGCCACCGTTGACCATGAACTTATGGTTAATTCTTTTGATTCCTTCCTGTGCTATTTCTGATTAAATTCATTTCACTTACCGTAGCTATAATTTTATAGTTTTTTATACTATTAGTGAAACAAGTTTGGTCAAAAACATTGACTTGTATACCTTTATTTAAACATTACTCAGAATGCTCTGACTTTCTGCAATTTCTGACAAAATATCAAATCTTGGACATTCACTTTCACCAACACCAACATTTTAGAGGTACACACAACCCACAAGTCACAAGAGACACTTCTTTTTTTAAGTGAACACTATGTCATAGTGTCACATCATTATTTTGGGATACATTTTACTGAAGCATAACGAAGGTAAGACTAGGTCTTTATTATTATTTTATTGTTCCATGAAGATGGAACATGAAGCATGAAGATGTTGCCTATTCTTACTCCCATTGGTGCTCATTTACCAGCATTTAAGGAAAATCAATACTTAGCACACTTATATTTTTATTTGGAAAGAAATATTTTTGTTGTTTTTTTGAGGAAGGAAACACAAAGATAGTGTTTTGCTTTAGGTCATTCAAAATTGCTTTGCTGAGATCAGAAACCTTGGAATTTGGTATTCAGTCATGTACTCCTATCCACTAATTTGACCACAATACAGCACCAACCAAGAATGAGAGCACACTTGCCTCACTGCAGCCAGCTGTGTTATATGAGAGCTTTCTCTGAGTTCTACAGATAATTCTGAAAATACGAGATTTATGTTAGCGATGACTAACTTTTAATGCACACAGAAGCGTGTATATGTGTATGGACAGGCATATGGAATCTCGTGGAATCCATACAAATGACAACTGAGGGCATATTCACAGAGCTCTTTTAGAATCTCTCATTGATCAGACGTATACCATATTCTCAAAGACTAAAGTAGAATATGTTATAACAAACCAGACCTATGTCTCTGTTCACACACAGCCGTATTCCTTCACAAGAAGAGCTGTGGTCAGTATAAACCTGATATAACTGGTTACCTCTTTTTTTGGACATGAATAATCTCACAATAATAATGACATATAAAAAGAAAACAGTGCAGAATCTCGTGACCCTAACAAACCAGAGATTTTTCATTTATTCTTATTTTTTTTCTGTTCTCATTCTTATGTTTATATCTTTTGTACAGAGACAGCAACCATCACATTAGATACAAATCTTTGGGTTTTTCTTTTCCCTTGTACTATTACTTCATAAAGTGTTTCCATACATTAATATCCATGGTTATTGGGCTTTTTTGTTTTTGTGTTTTTTTAGATTTCATTTATTTATATGAGAGTGAGAGAGAGCGTGGGGGTGGAGGGGCAGAGGCAGAGGCAGAGGGAGAAGTAAACTCCCCACTGAGCAGGGAGGCCCACACAGGGCTTGATCCCAGGACCCCGAGATCATGACCTGAGCTGAAGGCAGACGCTTAACCTTAACCCACTGAGCCACCCAGGCACCCCATGGTTATTGTTTGAAACAGCTATGTATTATGCTGTATGTTGATGTCTCGGCATGATTAATTTCTATGAGCGTTAATAAGCTTGTGCCCCAAACACCTTTTCTTTTCATGCCAGGTTTTGTATGCTGTTCTGATAGAGGAAACATTTTATTAACAGTGGCACGTTTTGAGCAAAAGCATGTGTGTTTTCTATGTTTAAATAGCTTATGGCAAAAATTCATTTTCAGTTCAATGAAGTGTATGTTTGTAAGTTCTGTCATCTGCCCATTGATTGATAGATGTGCAGGCTAGGCGTTTATGTGTTCGGTTTTGCTTTTGGTAGTTCTGTACGTGTGTGTGTGTATGTGTGTGTGTGTCTCTTTTCAGAAGGGGAGGGTACTGTCTTCCTTCGGAATATGCACTCCACCCTCTGTGAGGAGGCCTGTGGTGAGATGCGCATCCCTGCCCATGACAGTCATCTTCACGGCATTGAGCTCCAGCTCGTGGCCCCCATGTGATGCGTGGAGGGTGGAGTGTATCGCAGTCACAGTCACCTTTCATTTGTGTGTTGGATGTGGCATTTATATTAAGGAGGAGTAATTTTTTTTCTGATTTTTGTTTTCTTGTATCACCAGTGCACCTATCCCATTCTTCCATCGCTGTGCTCCCGTGAACATTTCCTGCTATGCCAAGTTTGCAGAGGCCCTGATCACCTTTGTCAGTGACAATAGTGTCTTACACAGGCTGATTAGTGGAGTAATGACCAGCAAAGAAATTATATTGGGACTTTGCTTGTTATCACTAGGTAATTGTTTTTCTCATTCTTAGCTATTGCATAGTACCGCAGTAGAAGACTGTTCTGTCTTGTAACCAAAATATGAATATAGCCGGGATACCTGTAAAATGTTTAACTTCCCATAGCCAAACTAACTGTTTCAGATTATATATAGTTACAAATATATACATATTTAAATAAATATATATATATATATATTTATATATCTGAAACTTTCTTTTTCTCTCATTGGAGAAAACTGGTGTTTTCCCAAACTTTGGTGACTGTCTATAATAACCTTTACTATGATAGCAGGAGGCTTCTTTTAATGAGTCAACACCCCTTTGTTTTTTGTTATGATTCCAAAGGCTTATACAAAGAGGCCACATATTCTCTTCTATATTTTCATCAAAGAGCATAGCTTTCTGATAGATTACTTTTGAGATATGGGTTTTTTTTTTTCATTGCTACAGTTCATAATATCACTGTATTGCTGGGAAAGTTAGAAAATCTCCACTTGGTAGCCACTGAATTTTCCTGTCATTAGATAATATAATCAAATAAATGTGATTTTCAAGATGTAAACTGCCTGTATTATCCTAGAGCTCTGTATGTAGCCATATCAGAATCTAGAGATCTTCCTAGTTGAGAGGAGTAAACTGTGGTAGGAACCAAGCACCTCTTTCATTATATAAGTAAAATGAGTATTTTTGTCTGTTAGCAACAATTATAGTCATTGAGAAGACTAGCTGAATTTCCATCTTGTCATTAGAGAGTATTTTCTTTTTGCTTAGGTAGTACTTGACTCAATTGAAATAATGCTGTCCATATGAAAAGCTATTTCTGTGATATTTGAAACGCTCCCATCTGTTTTTGGTTCCTGTACATTTATTGCAAAAGTGAGTACCTTGATAATATTATCTAGTCACAGATCCCAACCATTTTTTGGCTTTGCAAATGGCCCCCCAAAACTTGACTATTAGTCTGGCTTTATAAAAAAAAAATTATTTACTCTCTGAAATAGTTGAATACTTCAAGGAAAAAAGAAAACCAAACCTTGAAAATGGTGATAGTAATTTTAAACCATTGGAATTCCAGTTTTTATTAGAATGGTTCTCTTTTGGCTTAAGATCTTTGTTCATTTGTTTGTGAAATAGGCCTTTAGATAATTAAAGATGAACAAATTATGATTTCAGAAATGAATTTCCCCATGCAAAGGTCAAATCTTCCCAGTTTCTTTCTTTAATATTTTTCACTCAAGATTTTAGCATGTCAGAATTTAGCTTGGGATGGGTAGAGGTGTTGGCTAAATCACTCAACTAGGCTTTGCTCTTTTTTTGAAGATCTGTCAATCAGGACCCCTAACCCCAGTTGAATTGAGAAATAAGGTCAGAGGGATTAGGGCCTTCGTAGGCTTCAGGATACTATTCTGTAGAGTCAGAGCATTTCTTGGGAGTTTTAGAGGAGAAATGACCAAAGAAAGATTAAAATACTGTGTAGCTTGTTGACCAGCTATCAGAGAAGTTGGTCCTGAAATGCTAGGATTACTCTAGGGAAGTACAGCAGCTACTTTAACTGACCTTTGCCTACGTGTGGCAATTTTTCTGATCACCAACATGACACGTCATTCTCTACACTCTGTGTGTTGGCATGTGTGTTTGCATGTGAGTTCTGATGTCTTCCCGTGGTGAATCCACAACAGTTCTGTGCTGTTTTTGAGTCACCATATTGCATTTGCATGTGTTCTTTGTCATTTATCAACCCACAGTTAGGAACCTGAGTTTCAAGCGATGCTCTTCCAGTGGCGCAAGTACCAAAGTCAAAGTGCAAAAGTAGCCAGTTAACCTTTCTTACCAAAATTGGGGTCTTGTCAAGAGCAACAATTTATATCCCTAGGAGAAAACAATTGAAAGAGTTTCTCTTTATGTTTTCCAATGTTTTAAAATAATATTCTACATGTTCTCTATCTTCCCTGCAGTTCTGTCCATGATTCTGATGGTGATAATCAGGTATATTTCAAGAGTACTTGTGTGGATCTTAACAATTCTGGTCATACTGGGTTCACTTGGTAAGCTGCTTATTCCTTTGTTTTTTAGTAATTAGAATTGAGAGTTAAGTTTGCTTTTAACAACCCCTCAATTCAGAACTACGTTCATTATTTTAAAGATTTTATTTATGTATTTGAGAGAGAAAGGGAGAGGGTACACACATGTGAGCTAGGGAAGGAGCAGAGGGGGAGGAAGAGAGACCAGTAGACTGCGCTGAGCGGGAGCCCAACAAGGGGCTGGATCCTAGAACCCTGGATCACGACCTGAGCCAAAGGCAGACACGCTCAACCACTGAGCCACGCAGGTGCCCCTGCTTCTTGTTCTTTAATTTTTCACTCATTACTTTTCAGTGTTCCCTGCCTGGCAGAGGAAGCGACCCTTTCTTTTTATCCTAAACTTTTTAAAGGCCTGAACACGCCGTCCGAAAGTGTTGAGATTCTTTCTGGTTGAAATATTCCTAGTGGAATAATTGAATGTGTATAAAATATTGTTACTCATTTTTCTATTGATGTTCTATTTTGTGTAATGTTTTTATTTTACTATTTCTAATGAAACCTTCTGGGTTTTCTGTATTTATTGTCTTTTTTTGAGAACAATAATTTCCCCCTCCCTCTTTCCCCCCTCCCAGTTATAAATGTGATACCTACTCATGGTATCTAGCTACTTCCATGGTAGAAAATAGAAATATAAAAAAAGAAAGAAGTTTTATTTTTCACATAACACCTCTTTTCTTTAAAGAGAGTTTGCTTTTGCCTTTAAAATTTTCACAATTTAACCTGGCTTCCCCTCAGTTTACCACTACTAGCATATGAAATTCAGAACTTATATTTATTTATTTTTTTTTAAAGATTTTATTTATTTATTTTTTCATGACAGAGAGAGAGAGAGAGAGAGAGAGAGAGAGGCTGACACAGGCAGAGGGAGAAGCAGGCTCCACGCAGGGAGCCTGACGTGGGACTAGATCCGGGGTCTCCAGTATCACACCCCGGGCTGAAGGCGGCGCTAAACCACTGGGCCACCGGGGCTGCCCCAGAACTTATATTTATATATGAGTTTATTGAACTTATATACAAGTTCATTGAAAATTGTTTTTTCAATGCTTTACCCAATATGAAACTTTATTATTAGGGAAGTTTGCCCCCATTACATGTATAATCCTGCCTGCTATGTTTGGTCTTATTGATGTCATCTGTTTTATATTTTCTTTAAGTCTATGCTTTCTTATTTTGTTTTCTCTATGTTTGCTATACGAACTATGCTTTCATTGGTTATTTTTACCCTTGGTTTGGATGGTATACATTTTATATTTACTTCTACAGTAGATAATCTATACATTTTCAGAAAATATTCTTTAATCTAGAATCTTCTTGTTACTAAAGGGTGAAATGGAAAGGGTATATGTTGGGTTTTACCCTACTTCCTTTAAATTCAACATGTACTTCTTCCATTCTAACCCTCCTCTCATCTGCCTGTTCCCACTTTTTAGCCATTAACAAATAATCTGAGTTTTTGTATTCAGGTTATTAAAGTTAAAATATTATTTGATACATTGTATCTTTCTAAAGAATGTTTGCTTTGCCTTGAAATGTTTCATAATAATGTTTATAAAATTATTTACATTCTTCTGCCCCAGTTTTAGTGAGAACTACTGGTCTTATTTTTGTAAAACTTCATTCTTGAGTTCTTAATTTCAGTTCATCTTTGTTTTAAATTTATTATTTAAGTTCAGTTTAGTTAACATATACTGTATTATTAGTTTCAGGGGTAGAATTTAGTGAATCATCAGTTACATATCACACCCAGTGCTCATTCCATCAAGTGCCCTAATGCCCATCACCTAGTTACCCCATCCCCCTGCTCGCCACCCCTCCAGCAACCCTCATTTTGTTTCCTAGAGTTCAGCATCTCTTATGGTTTGCCTCCCTCTCTATTTTTATCTGATTTTATTTTTTCTTCCCTTCCCCTGCGTTCATCTGTTTTGTTTCTTAAATTCCACATGTGAGTGAAATTATATGGTATTTGTCTCTCTGATTGATTTATTTCGCTTAGCATCATACACTGTAGCTCCATGCACAGTGTTGCAAATGGCAAGATTTCATTCTTTTTGATGGCTGAGTAATATTCCCGTGTGTGTGTGTGTGTGTGTGTGTGTGTGTGTACACGTCTTCTTTATCCATTTTTCTGTGGATGAACATCTGAGCTATTTCCATATTTTGGCTATTGTGGACATTGCTGCTATAAACTTTGGGGTGCGGGTGCTCTGGTTCATCTTTGTTTTGATGAGAATTTGAATTCATGTAACTTATTCATGAAGTACTTGTGGGTTGTGTATTTTCTCAACTCTTTATTATCTAAGATTATCTTTGTCTCACATCTGAATATTGAATCTGCTGCGTATAAAATCCTCAAGCAGCAATATGTTTCCTGTGTCTGTACTTTACTTTTTGGAGACCAGTCTAATTTTGTGCCCTTGCCCATCACCATCTCACTTACCTTGTTGTGTATCTAATTTTTAACTTATCCTTATAACTTAAAATTTCCGTTTAGTTCTGAATCTTAACTAAATTTGCCAATGAATTCTTTTCTTTGGTGGGGGGTGTCTTTTACAACTTTGAAAAGTGGTCTTATTTCTGTATCTGATTACAATTTCTGTTCCAGTGGTTTTCCTCTTAGCATCATTGTTCATTCTTCTGCTGTCTTCTTCTAAATTATCATTTTAATCCTTTGACATTTTCTTTACACTCAGGAAGCTCTCTTCAAGCATACCTTCCAGATCACTGATTTTGTTTTCCTCACTGTCATTTCTGTACTTGACTTACCTCATTTTGTGATTCCATTTCTTCTTCTAGCCATCGTGTGGCCGTTGTGTCTAGTACTGTGTTTAGATGTTGTCTTAGTCACTTTGGGCTGCCATAACAAAGTACCATTGACTGGATGCCTTTTCAACAAGAAATACTTACTTCTCACAGTTCTGGAGACCAGGAAGGTCAAAACCAAGGTGCCAGCAGATTCGGAATCTGATGAGGTCTGGCTTCCTTTGTTCAGCTGTCATCTTGCTATTTTCTAACATGGTGCAAGTGGAGAGTTGCTCTCTGAGAGCTATTTTATAAGGACACTAATCCTGTTCATGAGGGCTACACTCTCATGACCTCATCATCTTCCAAAGACCCACCTCCAAATACCATCTCATTAAGGATTAGGAATTCAATCTATGAGTTTTAAGGGGGTCATAAACATTCAGCTTATAGCAGATGGATAGTTTTTTTATAATAAAAGTAGATTTGCATTCCAGTTCTGTCACTTACTAGATGTGTCACATTTGGCATGTTACTTCACTTTCCTGAATTTCAATTTTATCATTTATTTATAAAGTGGGACTTTTAATACCTACTTAATAGTATTGTGGTGATTCAGTTTGGTCACCTCTACTGTGTACTTCTGAACACAAATTTACATAAGCAATGTCTATTGTGGCTGTTATGGACAGTGACCTCCTTGATGTCCTCATTATTATCTCATTCTGTTTTCTTTTCTGTTTGTCTTTCTCTCATAACTTTTTTTAAAATATTTTAAAAATTTTTAAGTAATCTCTATACCCAGCGTGGAGCTCAAACTCACAACCTCGAGGTCAAGAGTTACATGCTCTGCCAACTGAGCCACCAAGGTGCCCTTTTCCCTCGTAACTTTTTATTCCCGTTTGTAGAGAACATGTTTTATTCTGTTGTTTGAGGCAATGACACTTTTCTTTAAGATTTCAAAATGAAAATATTTCCCTTTTTCAAATGTTTTTCTTAGACTTGTGTTTGTTTTAAGGTTGTTTACTCATCTTCAATAGAAAAAAAAATTGATTCTGGCTGTTTGGCACCAGGTAGGGTTGGCATTTCCCTTTGACCCTGCTCACTGTTTACTTGAGTGCAGGTGGAGGTCAGGTTGATTTGTATACTTCTTGGTCCAATTTCTCATCTCCCAGACATTTATCTTGCTGCCCATTCATACATATCTTTACTCAGAATCTTCCATTTCTTTACCAGAGCCTACAAGGCCTTATAGTATGATTTGGTCCCCAGAGCCCCTCTGCCCACAGCTCCTACCACTCTGCCCCTTGCTTGTGGCCTTCTCCTTTCTCTCCTGCCAGACATGGTCTCATCTCAGCATCTTAGAACTTGCTAGTACCTCTTGCCTGCAACACCCTTTCCTTAGATGGCTTTATAAATTGTTTTCTCTCTGTCTTTGATTCTTTTGCTCAAATACCATTTCACCACTGAAACCTTGCTTACTCATCCTTTCACAATGCTTTCCCAACCCCAGCACTTTCTATCCCTATTAAAAGATGAAAAAAAAAAAAGATGACTTTTTTTCCCCTAGGCTTCATAGACTATATTTTTAATTATTTCCTTATTTGTTTTGTTTCCTTATTACTATATAATCTCCTTGAGGGTTGAAGGTGGGGATTTAGTTTTGTTCACAGCTCTGTCCCCAGCACCTAAAATAGTTGATGCTCTGGGCACTCAGAAAGAAGGTGTTTGATGCAACTCCCTCATGTGGAAGTGGGTTTTCCGCCATCTTTAGTCTAACTTTTGGAATCTCTGAACCAGTGATAGGGAGAAACCTGCATCCAGCACACACCACTACCAAGCTATCAAAGATCTCCTATCTTTGTTCCTACTTTTGGTGGGAATCATTTCTTTCATCTTAATTTGCTCCTTGTACAAATACTGTCTTAACTGCATGACTGTGTCTGCACGAGGCACTGGGGTTACTGTGGTAGCACAACAGAGAGGATCTGGGCCTTCCTCAGCTTCATTGCTGGTTTCTGTGACCCTTACTAACTTCGTACAAGCTCCTCAAGTCTCAGCAGGCACTGATTCTCTCTGTATGGTCAGTTCCTCTCAGGGGTACTTGTCTTTGCTTGGCTCTCTCTGAGCTTCAGTGTCAATAATAAATACCATTGAAGGACATTTATTTGGTGTACTGAAAGATATCTTAACTACCTAGTGTGAATGATGATAATGGAGTAATTGGAGCTCCCCTTATGCCTGCAAAAAGTGACAGCCACACACCTCCCAGCCAAATGGATTGTTGCTGTGTTAGTCCCATGGTGATGTATAGGAAGGATCCGGGAAAGTGAAGATTTATGTTATGCGTTTCCTTGTGCTTGTTATTTCCAAAACAATTGTTTTTTGAATGCAGGTGGCACTGGGGTACTGTGGTGGCTGTATGCAAAGCAAAGAAGGTCTCCCAAAGAAACAGTTATTCCTGAGCAGCTTCAGATAGCTGAAGACAATCTTCGGGCCCTCCTCATCTATGCCATTTCAGCCACGGTGTTCACAGTGAGTGGGCTCGGGTGGATCATTTAGGTTTATGTTTTTATTTACAGGGATCATTAATGAAGCAGAAACCCACCTCTGGCAATTGCATGCCTAACCCTGAGCTGCATTAGATGAAATCTCTGTCCCATAGGCATGGAACATTAAAAAGTCTTCAGGAGGCTTCCCTAATTGATAAGTGTTATTTGATGCAACATTTGGTTCTGCATTGCCTGCTCGTTAAGAGGGGATTTTCCCCCGGAATATTTATATTATCCTTTGTTAGGAAAAACATATTATTTTGCTGTCATAATATGATTCCCTTTTTAAAAGTGGTTTTCTTTACTAAAGTATGTTAAGAAATACACCACTTCATATCATTTCATTTCCTTGTGTACTAATTATTTTCCTCTTTTTTTCCTTTTAAACTTTTCACAACATTATTCCAAGTTAGAGATGAACTTCACTGCCTAGGCCCTGTAGAGTAAATTACTGATGAACGTGTGGTTAAATAATGTGTACCCATATCTTTGATTCATCTCCTTCTCCTCTCTGAGAAAAGAAAAAAAAAAAAAATCTCAGACCACTTCTTGGACCAATCCCAAGCTTTTAATTGAGCTTTAGAAATAAAAAATAAAGGCAACATGAAACCATTGGTGCCAAAAGGTATTTGCTTGTTATTATTATACAAATACATATTAATCGTCTTTTAAACAGTTTTATCCCCTCTTTTTTAAGTATAGTTCACTCACCCTCACCCAGGGCACGGTGAGGGTGTGTAAGGGGTAAATCTGACACGGACCCTGCTCTTTAGGAGCTCTTGGTCTGATAACAGAGGTGAAGTGCAAATACCTCCTTTTGTAGTCATGGCATATGATCTCCCCTGTTTTCAGAGTGACAGGCATGTATCTATTCAAATAAATTCAGAGCCTTCATCCTGACTGACAAACAACATGTTTTGATTCCTAATGAGTAGAAAAGGAAAGTTAGGAGAATTCTAGGATATTAATAAACTGAGAAATCCTTTTATGTTTAGCTTTAAGGATATTTTCAGTATTCAATTGAGAATGCTAAATGCCGCAACACTGGTAAAGTATTTTTGGGATTCAGAGAATAACCTTTCCCCCATGTGGGATGAAGTGTAATGTTCAAAATTTCCACCATCATTTGGTTTCTGTATTCACTGCTTAGGGCAGTAACTGGAACCTTTCTCTGCATTTGCTCTTTACAGGTGATATTGTTCCTGATAATGTTGGTCATGCGCAAGCGTGTTGCTCTCACCATTGCCTTGTTCCACGTGGCTGGCAAAGTCTTCATCCACTTGCCGCTGCTAGTCTTCCAACCCTTTTGGACTTTCTTTGCTCTTGTCTTGTTTTGGGCATACTGGATCATGACACTTCTTTTTCTTGGCACTACTGGTAAGAAGACCTGCTGCTGCTTCTCCTTATTCGTGATGAATCTGATTTGTATTAAATTATTTTAAAACTTCAGATAGAATTCTTAGACTTTTATAACGAAGGTCTGATTGCCATTGGAACTAGCAATGAATTTGGTTAAGATTCTTCAACAACCCATTCCCTATTCATGATTTTTAGATCCTCCTCCCAAAGTAGGTCCAGACAGGTCATGGCTTTGAAGTCCAGTACTGATTCAGACATTAGGATTCATTCTAAGATGAACAAATGAACTCCGTGCGGCTGTGGAGCAGCCTTAAACCCCAGTTACAGCCAAAGATCAACTTGCTTCCTCGGGATTTTCTAATTTGGAAAAGATCTGAACCTAGGTAGAGTTTCTGGTGATGATATTGTTTGTAGTTAGACTCTCAGACTTGCGTGTAGCTACACTTTATATCAGAAGTTAACTCTAAATGGAATTAATTGTGATGCGTGGCATAAGGATAGTGTGCTTGTATGTAACTTCTCTGGCAGTTCAGCACGCATTCACCAATTGAATATAATATTAATTTCTATCCTTTGCTAATAATTGAGATATCTATAATTATTGGATGAGTAATAAAAGAGCCCTGAAAAAAGATTGAAGTGTTTGAAAATTCATGCCTAAATTAACTGACGTGGTAAGAACTTTCAATGAACCTTTCAAAGCTATATGATGCCTTTGGGGAAAACAAAATGCTTAAATGTATAATGTCTGGCTTCACAGCTTTTCAAGTGATAATTATTTTTGTCTCTTAATTAAATAGCACCGTGATCATAAATTTTGTGGTTTGGGAGTAGGAGGGACTGTTGTTGGAAATTAGATTAATCTCTTATATTTAACAGCCATATTTCTTAGTTTGTACTTTATGAGCTCCTTCTTTCCTTCCTTGATTATTTTCCCAGGCAGCGCTGTTCAGAATGAGCAAGGCTTTGTGGAGTTTAAAGTTTCTGGGCCTCTGCAATACATGTGGTGGTACCATGTGGTGGGCCTGATTTGGATCAGTGAATTTATCCTAGCGTGTCAGCAGATGACTGTGGCAGGAGCTGTGGTAACATACTATTTTACTAGGTGAGAATTTATTCTTGTCAGAAAACTTAAGATCTTCTAAGTGATTGTGTCTGAAGGAGATGGAAGTAAGGCTGGTAAGGGTTTTATTTCTTTAAAAAGTAATTGGAAATAAATATGACAAAATGTTATAGCTGATAATCCTGAGAGGTAGGAACATGGGAGGTTGTTATTTAATCTTTATACTTTTCTGTAAGTTTCTCAGAAAGTTAGAACAGCAGGTTATGACATAACTTCAATTATATTAGGCAGAAAAATAAATCTTGTAGTGTCTTATGTACTTTTTGCTTTATATAAAGGTCCATCGGGGTACCTAGGTGGTGCAGCCAGTTAAGCATCGGACTCTTAGATTTGGCTCAGGTCATGATCTCAGGGTAGTGAGATCAACCCTGGGTGGGGTGCTCAGCACAGAATCTGCCTAAAATTCTCTCCCCTTCTCCCTCTGCCCTTCACATTTGTACTCTCTCTAAAATAAATCAATAAATCTTTAAAAATTAAATAAATAAAGGTCCATCAAAGGACAACAAGCCTTTTTTTTTTAAAGAATTTATTTATTCATGAGATATATACAGAGAGAGAAGCAGAGACACAGGCAGAGAGACAAGCAGGCCCAATGTGGAACTCTATCCTGGGACTCTAGGATCATGTCCTGAGCCAAAGGCAGACACTCAACCACTGAGCCACCCAGGCGTCCCGACAAACCTTTTTAATTTATTTGGGTCAGAACAGTATTGTGACTCCCATTCCTAACTTCAGAGATGAATATAAGCTGTAGGCCTTTTAGTTTTCTATTAAAATGAGGTACCTGGTCTAGAGTGAACATCTTTTTTTTTTTTTTAAGATTGATTCTTGCTTATCTGATTTCTTGCATTTTTGATTCTTTGAGAGAGAGCAGGTGGGGAGAGACAGAGGATGAAGGATAGACTTTTAAGCAGACTCCATGCTGAGAATGGAACTGTCATAAGGCTCCATCCCATGACCTTGAGATCCTGACATGAGCTGAAATCAAGAGCTGGATGCCAGGAAATCCCTGGGTGGCTCGGCGGTTTGGCGCCTGCCTTTGGCCCAGGGCGCCATCCTGGAGTCCCAGGATCGAGTCCCGCGTCGGGCTCCCGGAATGGAGCCTGCTTCTCCCTCTGCCTGTGTCTCTGCCTCTCTCTCTTTCTCTCTCTCTCATGAATAAATAAATAAAATCTTAAAAAAAAAAAAAAAGAGCTGGATGCCTAACCAACTGTACCACCCAGGCACCCCAGAACATCTTTTTTAAGTTCCATTTTTTGATTGTACATTTAACTCTGTATTTACTAGTAAAAGCTTTCAAAGCACAGTTTAATTTTACTTAACATCTTAGAGCCTAAGAACCCCATGAAACTACCATAGAGAAATGAAACGTTAACTCTATTTGGTACATCAGCAGCATTTGTATTAGTTGCATATTACTTTCCCATTTTGTCACAAATCTAGAATTTTTTTTAGATGAACTAATTTTTCACTGCATTGGGCTCTGAACCATTCCTGTACTTAGCCTTTGTTTTTAATGTCTTTGGTTATTTTTTAAACAGGGATAAAAGGAATTTGCCATTTACACCTATTTTGGCATCGGTGAATCGCCTTATTCGTTATCACCTGGGTACTGTGGCAAAAGGATCTTTCATTATCACATTAGTCAAAATTCCACGAATGATCCTTATGTACATGCACAGTCAGCTCAAAGGAAAGGTAAGGAGAAAATACGTTTCTGGGCTTTCTGTGGTCATATCCCAGACCTCAGCTCTGTGTGTGGTAAAGCTCCCAGTGATGCTAAGTCCATAGCTGTGAACATTTTCTTCAAAATCCTTGCAAAGCAGAATCTAGTCCTTCTGCTTTGTCCCCTACTCTTGCTCTCTCCATGCTGTGGCAAAATCCATCATGTCACTGGTTTCCCAAGTTTCTGTGCTTCTCCCTGTGTTGACTCACACCTCCTCCTTGGAACCTCTTACCTATCCCTGACTGTGGAGATAATACACATTTCAACACAGGTTGGCTCATATGCCACCCCTTCCTAGAAACCTTCCCTGATTCCTCCTCCTCGATGACATCATCTCCTTCTGTCCTCCACTCTTATAGCACTAGTATCTATTGCATATTCTGTTTCTAACCTTTTTTTATGTTTAGCTTTTTTTCTTCTACAATAGTAGAAGTTCCTTTCTGGTCTTGTATACCTGACTTTATCTTATATGCAGTAGGTACTAAATACCTGTTGAATTAAATTGATTAAAAATAATTTAGCTATTACATTTTGAGGGAAAAGAGGGTGGGTACAGAGGCCTTTGAAACATAGGTTGTGATTTTTTTTTTACTTTTATTTATTTTTCTAACATTTGGAATATTCTATATGATGGTTTGATTCTATATGATGGTTTTTAATTATTTCTAATTTGTCCTTTCCAGGAAAATGCTTGTGCCCGATGTGTGCTGAAATCTTGCATTTGTTGCCTTTGGTGTCTTGAAAAGTGCCTAAACTATTTAAATCAGGTAAAGTATTTTAAAAATAAATCTAACATTCACTTTCAAGGATAGGTTCATCATTTCTTCTTCCAAGATAAAATAATTGAGCTTACTTGAAAGATGTTAACATATTTCTCATGATGTTATACATTGTGGCTTATTCGTGTATATCTATTTCTATCATATTCTTTAAAAAAAAAAAAAAAGACTATTTGAGAGAGGAAGAAAGAGCACAAGCAGGGGGAGGGGCAGAAGGAGAGGGAGAAGCAGGCTCCCCGCTGAGCAGGGAGCCTAATACTGGGCTCTATCCCAGGACCCTGAGGATCATGACCTGAGCTGAAGGCAGATGCTTAACCAACTGAGCCACCCCAGTGCCCCGTCATATTCTTATTTTTAAGAGTGATGTATATTCTTGTCAAGGCTCATTATTAATTAATTGTAACATAAGGATAAAATATCATTAGGGTTCATCTTCAGGAAAGACATTTATTCCTTAATTCACATCCTTTCATCTTTGATTTTCTCTAAGAATCTGTCTCAGCTAGCCATATTTCTTTAATTCTTCTTTTAAATGTTTGAGAGGTACCTGGCTGGCTCATCCCATAGAGTATGTGACTGTTGATCTCAGGGTCGTGTGTTCAAGCCCCATGTTGAGTATGGAGCTTACCTTTTAAAATGAATGAATGAGTGAATGAATGAATGAATATTGTTTAAAAGCTTTAGTTTAGTGAAGAGTCATTGTGACACTTAAACTCACTTTTTTGCTCTGTCTACTATTGTCTAAGACTAGTGTGCTGTCTATCCTGATACTTTTTTCTGGGAGATCCATCTGCTTAAAGACTATGATATTAGCCTGGGAGATAGTCTCAGAGGAAGTGCTATGTCTTGCTGTGTCTAGGCACACAGGACTCTCTCTGAAGCACTCTTCCCATCTTTTCTTCTTCTTCTTCTTTTTTTTTTTTTTTTACAACTTCTCTGCATTACTTGAAAATCAGTTGTAATGTGCCAATGCCCTCATCTAATAGGCCAAAGATAGAAATGGGCTTTCTCACCATTTACCTCTAAGTGATTCAAGAGTAACAATGTACTTACATTCACTCGAGGGTAGTCAGAGGATGGTAGTCCTGTTCGCTGTGGCGTTGAGCATGACTGGAATTTTGCTTTATTGGAGTTCTATGGTTAATATGAAAAAAAGTAGGCATGACATTTCATTAGCAAAATAAATTCTTGTCAATTGTAATATTGTATGGATGGAAAGTATTTGGAAGGTCATTATTAAAAAAATTAGTAATAGCCATAGCAATCTGAAAAATTACATTCTTTAAAATTTGGTTTGGGACCAAGTCATCCTTATCGAAGAGTTGATGGATGCAGTACTAAAAATAATCATCATTACATTTTGTACCCATCACTAAATTGCTCATCTGTAGAGAAGAAGCAAAACCCATCTCTTCATTCTCAGTTTCTACCATCTTCCCAACAGGAATCTTTTGCTCTTTGCAGTTTTCCAAACCTGCCTGAAATGAGTTCCTTCCAACGCTTGAATAGCTCCTACTAATCCTTAAAGATTCTACCTTGAGCTTCGCTTCAAAGAAGTCTTCCCTCATTATCCTAGCCCCCCGCTGACCCTCCACATAACAGATTCATACCTCTGTGAAAACACTATGTTACATGGAAATCATCTGTTTACCTCTTTTTTTTTTTTTAGAGATTTTATTTATTTATTCATGAGAGACACAAAGAGAGAGACGCAGAGACATAGGCAGAGGGAGAAGGAAGCTCCCTGCAGGGAGCCTGATGTGAGACTAGATCCCAGGACTCCAGGATCACACCCTGAGCCAAAGGCAGGCGCTAAACCACTGAGCCACCCAGGGATCCCATTACCTCTTTATTTCCACCTTCAGACCTTTAGCTCCCTAAAGACAGGGATCGTAGTTATTTTTGTCTCTCTAGAAACTATTCCAGTATCTGGTATAGAACAGGTGGTCTTTAAATGTTTTCCAAATGAATTGTTAATCAGTGAATACCTGGATTTTAAAAGACTAATAGTATGATGTAAAACCAGAAGAAAGAGTCTCAAAAAGGAAATGTACAGGTATACAGAAGGAAGAGAACAAATCACACGATGTTAACATGCTCGGTAAGCAAGTGAAAAAATCCAAGGTTCTCAGCTCATCCCATGCTAAACGTTAATCATTTTAGTACTGACAGTCCTGAGATGTATATCCAAACTTCAAGTTGGTCTTTATTGTACAGATTTTGTACACTTTGGATCTTCATTGAAGATTTAAGGGAACTGTTAAAATAGTAATTAATAAGTGAGTTTAGGTTTAGAGAGAGTGATTCTGAACTAATACTTAGTTCTGTTTGGGAATGAAACACTATCAGGCCTGATTACCAGAGTGCTTCAGTCTCCTTTTCTCACAGAAATCTCACTGGAGTTGAGGTCAACATACTGAAGACATCGGAACGGGGCACCTGGGGGTAGCTCAGTGGTTGAGCGTCTGCCTTCAGCTCAGGGCCTGACCCTGGGGTCCTGGGATGAAGTCCTGCATCAGACTCCCTATCAGAGCCCGTTTCTCCCTCTGCCTATGTCTCTGCCAGAGTCTCTCCCTGTGTCTCTCATAAATAAATTAATTAAATATTTTTTAGAAATTAAAAAAAAAAAGTGTTCTAATGAACCCTTCCTGCCAGGTTAAGCAAAAGTATCTGTTGCCAGTAGAATTTTTTTCTTAAGATTTTATTTATTTGAGAGAAAGCAGAGAGAGAGCATGAGCAGGGGAGAGAGGCAGAGGGAGAAGCAGACTGCCTGCTGAGCAGAGAAACCGTTGCAGGGCTTGATTCCAGGACCCTAAGGCCCTGACCCGAGCCACCCAGGTGCCCTACCAGTGAAATTTTTTTAAACCCTTGCTCCTGTGAAACGTTTCAGAGTTGGGTGGGCACCCGTCTGTTTAAAGCATTTAAGATGACAGGAATCATGGCAGTCTGAATAGATGAGCTTTAGAGACTTTTCTAAAATTTGAAAACAAAACAAAACAAAACAGTAAGGTCTAAGAGTATGATCTGCTGGTGTTTGAAGGGACATTCTTCTCAGTGCTGTCACAAACATTTGGCAGTTACAAGATTAGTGCTGTGCTAGAGATCAAGCCTGAGCTGGCACCAAGATAACAGGCAGCTCACACCTTTCCTTTTGTCTCTAGTATTTATCACTTCCTGAAAATGAAGTTTCTTTTTCCCATACGCATTGGATTGAGTCCATATTTTTATAGCCTTGTTGGAGAAGACAAGATGGATAATTGGGGGGATATACAGTGGAGAAAGCCCAGATATTGACGGTGTGTTTCAATCCCAACAGTTTAATTATTTGGCAAGTCCAGTGAAACTTCAGAATCTCCGTTTCCTTCTTCACTGAGTAGAGAAAATATACCTATCCTCATAGGCTTTAGCAAGGATGAAATATTAATGCAGATAAATCACCTCTTACAGTGCCTGGTTCTTGATCATCATCACCTAGTAACTGTTATCGCTCTCTCCTGCTCCCCTCATTTTATTGTTTTATAAAGAACTCCCAATGTTTTACTCTAAGATAAGAGAGCTCTGGCAAAGATAAAACGAGAAGTAGTTCTAAAGATGTATCTACTTTCTTTAAAAGTAAATATAATGTAAAATACTGAAGAGTTTGGAAAACCAAGAGAAAACAAAGTCACCCATGATCTCACTGTGCTAATAAAAGTGACCTTTATTGAAATATGTACTATTAGCTTTGAGAAAAAGTTTCTAATATTTTATTTCAGTGTAGTAATGTCTTATCAGACATTGCTTATAGACTGATAAGACAGTCATCTGTAAAACGAGGATAATAATAGTATCTGTAGTGCCCATTACCATGAGGATGCAGGGATGGTATCTGTAGTACTCTGAGTCTGTGCCTGGGCACAGCAAAGCCTCTGTAATGATGACTCTTATTGTATAGTACTGTTCACAGTTAGTTTCTTTTACATTTTTTAATGTGCAGTGGTTTTTATTTTTCTCCTGGCAGGTCTTTCAGACTTTTTTAACGCTTTCTTACTTAGCTTTTTTTTTTTTTTCTTACTTAGCTTTTATGCTTGGAAAGATTTTTCCCACCTCAAGGTCAAATAATTATTCCAGTATTTTTTTCTCTAATATTTCAGATGTTTACCTTTTTTTTTTTTTTTGAATACTTTTGAGTTGGGAATTTAATCAATTGCCTCATGGCCAGTTAGTCATTATTCTTGCTTCTGCTATGAAACGTCACTTTAATCATGTACTAAATTCTTCTACATCATACTTAAGTATGTCTTAGGACTTTCTTTTCTGTACTATTGATCTGCCTATGCTTTTACACCAGTACTGCAATATCTAATTACTATACCTTCTTCTACTTCCTCCTCCCCCTCCTCCTCCTCTTCTTCTTCTTTTTCTTTTTCTTCTTCTTCTTCTTCTTCTGGATACAATGGGTATTTTTTTAAAAAAAATTTTTATAGCTTCATTATATATCTCTAATATTTATAATACAAATTCCTCTCATTCTTATTTTTCAAAAATTTATTGTCAAGTCACCTGTTTACATTCTGAAATTATCTTTGGAATGTTTAATAGAGTACAGTGAAATAATAATACTAATTTTAAGGCCAGCTAATATTTATTGAACACTTACCATGTGCCAGGCACTGTGGTTCGTTCACACTTTACATGTAGAGTCTCCCATCCAGAGATCTGTTTTGTCTACTTTTTGGAAATGGTTAACAATTAGTTAATACCTGTTGCATTGTTTTCCTCCCGTCCTTTCTTTTGCTGTCACTCCTGAGATCATCATGCAACTTTTTTTTTTAAAGATTTTATTTATTTATTCATGAGAGGCAGAGAGAGAGAGAGAGAGAGAGAGAGAGAGACATGCAGAGACACAGGCAGAGGGAGAAGCAGGCCCCATGCCGGAAGCTTGACGTGGGACTCCTTCCTGGGTCTCCAGGATCACACCCTGAGTTGCAGGCGGTGCTAAACCACTG